CGGCGCCGCCCCTGGGGCGGTCGGCCTCCATGACTGCCGCCTGGGGCCACGCCGTCCGTATCTAGGGTTCGTCCGCCGGTTGTGTTGACCGGCTGCCCTAGAGAGTCTTTTCCTCGGACCCTTGCTTCGGGGTTTTCTCTCTCCCGCCGGTCATCTTGATCGGCGTTTTTTTGGCTTTCCGATCTAATCTTGATCGGTTTGCGTCGCCCCCCGCCACCGTCGACCTCGCGCGCCTCTTCTTCATTGATCCGGTGGCCCCGCACATCGTCTGCACGTCTGCCCGCCGGTCGCCCCGACTCATCGGCCTCGCGCGTCGTCCGCGCGTCTGCCCGTCGGTCGCCCCGACCCGGCGGCCTCGCGTCATGTGGTGGCCCTTCACCGCCACCGTTCGTGGGCTGGCCCGCCCGTCGATCTACGTAGGCTGTCACAGTCCTGCTTCGATCGGGATTCCTGCATCACCCCGACCCGGCGGCCTCGCACCATGCGGCGGCCAATCATAGCCGCCCTGCCGCCCGCTGTCGCCGGCTTCATCTCGGACTCCGCCCCCACCCCGTCTCCACCGAGCGGCGTCCCCAACCTTGCGCGCGATCGGATTGATTACCCGCCCGCCGCCGCGATCCACCTCATCTACGCCATGCAACCGACCTGGCCCGTCGGTGGCGCGCGCCTCCGCAGGCCCGTGAAGACCGTCCCGAGTTCAGCGCGCCCCTCTACCGATTGAGCAACGGGCTGACGCTGCGTCGCCCCGTCGGGCCGCAGTGCCGCCACCCCGTGGTTCTTCTCCCGGCTGCACCGACCCGCGTCACCGCTGCGTCGCCCCTTCGGGCCGTAGTGCCGCGGCCCGCGATCCACCGCCACCCCGAGGCCGTCTGCTCCAGGTCGTCCCCGTGGCAGCACCGACCCTCGCGTCGTCGCTGCGTTGCCCCGTCGGGCCGTAGCGAGCGTGGCATGCGGTTCACGCCGCCGTCCCGAGGCCGTCCCCGCGGTTGCACCGACCCGTGCTTCTCCGCCGCGCCGCCCCTTCGGGCTGTCGCGCCGCGGCCCGCGGTCCCTGCCGCCGCCCCGAGGTCTTCCGTCGCCGCCTTGACCCGCCCGTCGCCACTGCGTCGCCCCTTCGGGCCGTAGCGCCGCAGCCCACGGTCCACCGTCGTCGCTGTGCGTCAACTTCCCGTGGTACGCGTCGCTACGCCTTCCTTGGCGCGGGAACGCCACCGTCCGCGCCGTCTTCATCATGCTGTTGGGTTCTCCTCGCCTACTTCGAGCACCGTCGCCGCGCTCCTAACTTAGCCGTCGCCGCCATCAGGCCGCCGCCACCGCTCTTCTTCGGCCGCCGCAGCTGCTACCCCCGTAGCCGACGCCGCCTCCCGTCCACCTCCCTTCATCTTCGTCCAGCACCAGCCAGTCGCCAGCGTCGCCGTCATCTACCCCGAGCACTTCATCTACTCTGACAACTGCGGGCGACTTTGGCCCCACGCCGATGGACGCCACAATTGTCGTTGAGTTCTTCTCTGCTGGCCTCTCCGACTTCTTCGACATGGCGTACAGCTCGTGCAGGTCCCTCGTCTACGCATGCCCGGTGCTGGCAACACCGATGCATGCCTTCATCCACGACGTGTCCCCAGGCCTGGCAAGCCTGGTGCAACACTTCGTCAACTTCGTCTTCGTCCATCTACACATGCCCGGTGCTGGCAACACCGGTGCGTGCCTTCATCTACGATGTGTTCCCGGGCTTGGCAAACCCGCCGCGACGCGTCGTCAACAACATCATCTCCCCGGCGCACCCCTACTTCGACACCACTGCGCCCATGCTAATTCGGCGCCCCCTTGCGCCCGCGGCTCCACGGTGACTTCCTCGACACCGGCCACCCTGACTCGACATCGACCACGACATTCTTCGCACGGCTACCTCGACCACGGCTCCACCACCCACGCTCTCGGCTACATCGACAAACAGCACAAAGGGCTACCGCCTTGCTTGAACAACCTCGTCGGTTTCCACTCCAACCACGACTTTCGCGATGCATCGACCATTACGACTGTGGGGGGTGTCTGTCGGCTTGCCTTCGGATTCTTCTCCAGTCTCATCATCTGCGTCGCTACCTTGTGACTGCGGGGGGATGTTGAGTATAATGTTTATTTAGGAAACATAGGATAGCGTAGGATTTGTTCCTGCCTTGACTTGTACTCCAAGATGACCATGTACTCCTATATATATGCCCACAAGGCTCAAGCAATACAACAACTATTCCACCAATCCCTCTCTCCCTTCCAACATAATTGAAGAGGTCAGTTGATGCTGGCTGATCAGGTCTCTAGTCTGACTCGGGGATACATTACGTCTCGACAAGGCTATGTTTGGTTGCTAGGGTGAGAAATTCCAGGGTAAAAACAGCACGGGAGTAATTTTCTTCACAACTTGAAATCCACGGGCATCATCGAGCAAGCGGGACCCATCTTCAACCTCGGCTTAACCATGCAAATCAACACAGCCAGCCGCCGGTATAGGGAGTTGAGGTCAACCAAACACCGCCTTAGAGCATCTCCAGCCGTTGCCCCCCAGAGGCATAAAAATCGCCGCCTGGGGGCAAGCTGGCGGCAAATTTGGCTCTGGGGGCGGTTGGGCACCCAACCGTCGCCCCTAGGCGCCGATTTCGGCCCATCATTCGGTGCACTTTCGTCCAAAACCGATCTGATATCTGCGTGAATCGGTCCATATTCGGCGCGGTTCGGCATGTTTCAGTGTGAATTCTCCCATAAATAATTCAACAAATAGAAATCAAATAGTTCATCACATAGTTTGACGTGGTTCGGCGTGTTTTTGCCTGCATATTTCATCACAAAAAATCAATAGAAATCAAATAGTTCAACAAATATTTCAATACAAATTATATAGTTCAACAAATAAAAACTCATATTTCATCACACGTCATTCCCGGCGTCGCCCTTGAGCCTCAATAGGTGCTCCACCAGATCGTGTTGTAGTTGATGCACTTGTGGGTCTCGGATCTCCTGACCCATATTGAGGTAGGCGGTCCAGGTTGCCGGTAGCTGGTGATCAACTTGGGCAAGAGGACCCTGCCTGTAAAATGGTTCTGTGTCCAACATTGGCTCTTCCTGCTCGCTCTCAATGATCATGTTGTGCAAGATGACACAACAAGTCATGATCTCCCACATTTGATCTTTCGACTAGGTCTGAGCAGGGTACCGGACAACAGCAAATCGAGATTGGAGCACACCAAATGCCTGCTCGACATCCTTCCTGCAAGCCTCGTGAACCTTCGCAAAGAAGGCATTCTTGCCTCCTGGCACAGGGTTTGAGATAGTCTTCACAAATGTCGACTATCTTGGATACATGCCATCAACTAGGTAGTACCCCTTGTTGTAGTGCCGCCCATTGACCTCGAAGTTCACCGGAGGAGAATGACCTTCAACAAGCTTGGCAAAGACAGGGAGCACTGCAGGACGTTGATGTAATTGTGAGTTCCTGGCATCCCAAAGAAAGAGTGCCAAATCCAGAGGTCCTGTGTGGCCACTGCCTCAAGTACCACACTGCAACCGCCTTTGGCGCTTTTGTACAACCCCTGCCAAGCAAATGGACAGTTCTTCCATTTCCAATGCATGCAGTCGATGCTTCCAACCATCCCAGGAAATCCTCTTGCTGCATTCTGTGTTAGGATCCGAGCAGTATCTTCCGCATTGGGTGTTCACAAGTATTGCAGTCCAAACACTGTGTGACGCCCGGATAATTAAGCTATAATAATTCCCTGCTAATGGTGTCATGTCATCACATTACTGTTGTTAATCCTCACTTGATCCAAATCATGATTCAAATTCAAACTCAAAATTTAAAGTCAAAAATTCCAACTTGCCAAACATGAAAACTAAAATGTTCAAAGTGTGGCAAATAATCTCTGGATAATTGTCATGTTGGAACCAACCTCTTTTGGGTTTCGAAAGTGCCCCTGGAAATTATTTAGTGATCCAGCATCATTTAAAATTGGCATTTTAAATTTCTAAAAATAGTTGG